CTCATGGTTTTCTGGTCATGAAAAAAAACATGCCCCACTAATACTTCGCCCTCAAACCAATAGGCGCTTGTCTAAATGATTAAGAACTTAGATAACTTAAGATTTGGTGTTCGAATCTCAAAGTATGTAACTATATAGTTGAGTATATAAAATGTGTCTTGTCAGTGATACCTCAAAATCTCCTTAAAAAAGGTCTCACCTACATGAAGATCTGATTAGTTTGGATTGGGTTGAGCGGGCAAAGAATTTAGGATACCCAAATGCTCCAAGATGCCAAGTGGAAAAAAAAAGAAAAAAAGAAAAGAAATAAAAAAAAAAAGAGCTAGCCCTGCCATGATCAGCCCGTGACTGTTTAAACAAACTAAAATGAATTACATGTTTTCTCAATTATGCCACCAAAAAAAAAAATTAAACCACAATCGAACTTCTTTGTCTGCTATAAAAAAATTATTTAAGTGCGACGGACTACTTTCACCATCATGAATTATAAAATATTTTTAAATAAAATATTACATATTAATAAATTTTATTAAATTTACTTGATAATCTTATATTTTTAAAATAAATTATAAATTTTAAAAAATACTTTTCATTTAATATATTAAAAAGAGATAATGGCAGGAATTAAATAAAGAGAAAATATAACAGGAAAATAAACCTGTTTAATGAAATTTTAATCTTCTCATAATATCTCAAATTTTGTGACATTGAATCTCTCTAAAATATGCCTTATAATTTTAGATGAAATGATTACTAATTAATTTATTTTTAGAAAGTTTGAAATTCATATACAACACATATGATTATTTTTTTATTATCATTATAAAACGCATTGAGAGGAAAGGAAACTAGCTTTGCTCGACAGCTAATGAAATTAACTTTGCCTTTCCTGAAATTTTCATTAGTGACGAACAATGGATGACAGGTTCCGTGAAAATCGCCATGGTCAAATTATAGCTGTTAGTATCTGCCAAACCCGTTGAACTGGCATGTATGTCCAGCTTAAATTTGAGAGTTATTAATGGGAGTTAGATTGGGGGGGGGGGGAACTAGTCCCTCACAATGTAAATAATTAAGGTTTAAATATAGTAGTCACATTTAGTGCTCAACTGTCATCAAATAAAATTGACTCCAATATAATGATATTATATAACCAGTTAAAAAAATTGAAAGTTAGACTTGAAAAATAACCCTTCAAGTGTTAAAGGAAGAACCATATATAAGGACTTCTCAAGAGAAATATTCACATAAAAAAATTAATATGAAAATGTTTGCTATTAAAATGATAACAGATATTTGTTTTTACCCTAATAATGATTTGTTGTTGGTTCTTGCTTATGAATAATTCTCTTAAAAGGTCCTTTAATATGATTTTCCCAACAACAAAACAAACTTTCAAGCTCGTACTCTTTTGAAAACTAAAAAAGTTAAAGGAAAAATTATTAGTGAGTTCCTCCTTGAGATTGAAATTGTGTTTAAGAATCAAAGGACTAGTGGGCAAGCATATAGGCTTTAGAGGCAAGTAGATAGTCATGAAATCCCAAGCTTGTTTACTTGCACCCTAAGCCTATCTGCTTGCACCTTGATCCTTTGAATTTTTGGCATAATTTTGACTCAAAAAGAGATTTACTAACAATTTTTAATAAAACATGTTATTTTCTTAACCTAACTTAAACATTTTTCTAATCACAACTAGTCAAGTAAAACTTATTATTGATGTTATTACAACCTTAAGCTTTGTTTGGTACATAGGCCTGATTTAAAGGGATTGGGATTGATATTAGAATTGAGATTGGGACTGAAGTTTTAAAAGTGTGTTTGATAAGGAATAATATTTGGATGGAATACTTGCAATAATTTTATTTTTTAACAAATTAGAAATTTTCAAAAGACAATGACAACCCTTATCAAAAAAAGAGAGTATGCAATCTGAAACTCATATATGGAACTCCACTTGAGAACAAGTCCAGCCACGAATATAGGCATTCTCAATCTCGTACACACAAGAAGAACTTGAACCAGGTCTAAGAACCATATTTTAAGCACAATCTTAAACCAGATCTGAAGGCAAGCAGCTTTGAACTTGAACCAGTGGGTGGGAGGCAGAGGGAGAAAGGTGGAGATGGAAAAATGACAGGGATGCGATATGGAGTGAGATGACTTGTGATGGTGATGGCAACAAGAATGACTTGCGTCGCATCTTTTGAAGGAGATGATGTCGGCATTGCATCTTCAATCTCCTCCAGATCTCATATTTGATGTCTTTGATTCTTTAGGAGGCATCGGTGGAGGAGATGGCGGTATCGGTGGAGGAGCTTGACTGAAAGGAAGGTAAAGGGTGAGAGGCGACAGGTCGGTGCTCAACTAGAAGCAAAAGGAGAGAGACAAGGAAGAGAGGAGAGATGTGGGCATTATTGGTATGAAAATAATCAACCCAAGAATAAGTTTGGTGGGACTAACCAATACTAAGGGGATAGATGGATTTTAGTGTTCCCATCTAAGTGAAATTGAGTAATCCCAAGTATTGATAAATGCCTCATACCAAATATGTGAAAGGTAAAATTACTCTAACCCAATCCTAGTACTTACCTTTAAATACCGCATACCAAACGAGCCTTTAGTTCTTATTTATCTTTCTTTTCTTTTATTTTCTTTTTTTATACAAGATCAAGGCATCCACCGTCGATACCTGTGACTAATCCCCTCATCGTGAGGTCTCTTATAAAAGGACAAATGGCTGAACATAGAATGCTCACTATTCTTTTATTTTCTTTTTGAATTGAAAGGCAAGTGTGCTGGTTGAAGAAGAAAGCGCGCAATCCAGGAACCCAATCATCAAAGCCTACTCACGTTTGCTTTTAGCCTTTTTCCCTGTGTATTAGCACATCTCTGATAAATTTTTCACATTTTGATTTCATAAGATTTAGAGCACTATATTTAATCATCTTATATATAGTAAAACATAATAAATTTTGATGTTCATGAAACAATATAATTAATACTGTTGTGGGCCTCATCAATAGTTTTTTTTTAATTCGATTATTTTTTCTCAACTTTTTTTTTGCAACACTTTTTTTGTTATGCTCATGTTTTTTTTTTTTTTTCATTTTGTTAACAAAAACAAAAGCATGCTTGACCATGACTATCTCACGACCTTTTCTGTCATTTGTGTATCATTATAGTAGTTGAATTTGACCTAAATACTAATAGATTCAGAAACTAATTATTATGTTACAAATTAATGGCAATTTACTTAAACATTTTGTTTAATTATTATTTAGAATATTAATACAATAACTTGCCTATCAAGTAATTCTATTTTATGGAATTTTTCTGAGACTTTGCTTTGACTTCCATAGGTAAAGTGACCATGTTCAAGTCAGATAAAATTTAACCCAAACCCACTTACATATATGACTAAAAGTTCTTTGTTTTGTTGATTTGTTATGAAGGTTTTTTTTTTTTTAGCCATAAAATCTATTATCCATTATCACAATATGGCAGATGATAGATAACTTTTTTTGCTTTTTTATTTTTGTTTGTGCAAAAGTATTATTTTATTGAAGTCAATCTTGTTTATCAAAATAAGGTCGGACACTAAATGATTTATGCACCTCTCCAATTAGATTCAAGCATGAGTCTACCATACTGCAAGGATACTCATTCTATTTGTGTATATGAAAAGGCGAGTATATTATTAAAGAGTTTGATACAAAATCTCTTGTAAATGATTTTAATAACATGAAAAAAAGGAAGAGTTAATTATTCTTTATTTAAAAAGAAAGGCTGACATTTGATATATCATCATGTAATTTAAAATATTATTAGTTAAATACTTAAATGTCTTTTTTTTTGTTAAACATTTTATTTTGCATATACATATAACATATTCACATAATGTCCAAAGACAAACTAAAAAGGAAAAAAAAAAGGGTGAATTTGCCCTTAGTTCCATGCAGTGCACGGGACATTTATATAGTTTGAACCAAGGACAGATATAAAGGGGAGGGAAGAGCCATGAATCCATGATATAAACTTTCTTCAAAAATACATTTATTTTTATTTGTAACGACTGTGAACATTAATTTTGGCCCTCATTTTCTTGTAATTATTCATTTTCAGCCCCAACTTCTAGATTCCCCCCTGATCTGATCGTTAATTAATGTGGGAACGCTCCTCATTTAATTAAGCTCAGTACTCGTAGTTCAAGAAATGAAAAGCTGCATTTGTTTTTAATGCCAATACAAGCCGCATTATAAATCTATAGCCTTAATCTGAGGCTCTGAGCACCAGGAACCATCTACTCCTCAATCAAAGAGAGATCGTTACCAGTCTGCAACCATTTGGAGGAACTAGAATTTGTTTTTCCACTATAATAGACCACATAGATAAATAATAATGCTAATATGAATGAATTTTTTTTTTGGTGAAATAAAAGTTTTAGTGAGTTAGGGTAATGGGATTCATTACAGCTAATGCATATTTTTTAAACTCAAAGAGCAATTACAAATTACTCACTAATAAAATCTTTATGTTGGCAACAAGATTTGAAACCTACATATGAACCAAATTTTAACCAACTAGATCAACATTTGTTGATTAATACAATAAACATGTTTTAATCAAACGATGCACAGATTTAAGCAAGATTTGTTGTGAAAAATTTTAAATTCAAAGTGAAATTATAAGAAAGGGGAGTACGAGATGATTGAAAAAATAATAGCACGGACACCCGTATAAATGACACATTTCATCTTTCTTTCAAATAATGAGAAGATGGTATGTTGATAAAGTACACAATTTTGGATTTTTGTTTCTTTTCTTTTTGTTTTTTTTTTTTTTTTTGTCTCAAAGTTTATCTTTATCAGAGTGAATGAACCCTTGACTATCGGCAGAGGACGGTGGGAAACCGGAAGAGGCTGATGCCGTAGGGAAAGTGATGAAGGAAAACATGAAATGAGAGAAATGAAAACAAAAATAAATAAATAAAAACCCAAGCATTTCAGTACAAGGAAATATCTAATAAAAGTTTTGCTTTGTTGATACATCCAATAAAAGTAAAACAACTAATTAATACAATCCGAAAGTTAGATCTATAATAAGGCCCATCTGAGCCCAAGTCAGTTGTATAGCAAACAGTAGTCTCGCACAAAAGCCCATCAAGATATTCTAAAGTGTACAACCAAAATAGTCAAAATTATGAAAGCCCAGATGCTCAGTTTTGTGCCGATTTAGCAGCTATTCCCAGCCAAGGCATTGACTCTACTGGCTTGCTAGGACCCCCAGTGGGGTTGCTTGCTTGATACGGTGCTTTGGCAGCAATTCTGTGAACACAAGATGAAAAGAACAACAACATCAATCATTTGACCCAGAACAACGTCATCAATCTACAACAAATTACTCTAATCTAATAGCCCTTGTTCATTGGAGTTATGTACATAACTATTAACGTTTAGCCTGGATCTACCAAGAATCTTATGACCAAGGAAAGTTGCTTTTTCTTTGATTGCTTACCTATCCTTTCTCTTCTCCAAGAACCGGTGAAGCGATGCGTTACGCATAATAGGTAGATCTACCAAGAGAGGAAAGTGATGGTCAGAAACGCGTCATCCATGAAACATGAATATTTTCAAGGTGTGAACAAAATACTGATCAAAAGATTATACCACAAGTGACAGGTCTGGATGGAGCTTGAGGATGAGGAGAAATGGAGGCACTGGGATCAGCAGAGGCTCTGACCAAATTAGCAGGGAAAGAAGGTGCGCTCCGAGCAAAAGTATAAGCAGGGGGGTTCTGGCTTTGAGCCTCTCCTTTGCTGGCGAAAGACATGATCTCTTTGGCTTTCTCGGCCGGAAAATCATCGAAAACAATGACTTGTCCGGCGTAGAAGATTGTCAACTGTGCAGCTTTGGGCTCCTTAGTCAGAAGCTTAGGCACACTGTAGATCATGAAATTCACAAGAGATCGTAGATTAAGGTACTGGGAAATTGGCAATTTTCCAAAGAAAATTCATAAGAAAAAGAGGCAAGGAAAACCTCAGATACCTGGAATTTGAGAGTAAATCCTGTGTTGTTACAGAGCTTTCCTTGGCTGGAAATAAGTCCATGGTCGTCGCAGTCTGACAAGATGCTTCAGTTGACCCTGTAAAATTTTTAGACGAGAAAATTTATGAAAACCCGACCATTAATGATGTATCCAGCATATTCTTTGACCAACATGCAGCAAGCTTCTTAAACCATAGAATAAAAATCCTAAACACTTGGGCGAAAAAATATGGCCAAAAATTGAAGGGCAATTCGTGCATAATTTCGACATGTGATTTTATATTCATAATTACGCGAAACACCATAATCAGCATGTTTGCGCCCGATGAAGTCGGTTTGTGCCTTGATTAGCGAAAAACTAGATCTCCCGCTTATTTGATAAAATAACAAGATTTTTTTTTTTTTTGGGCCAAGATAAAATACCAAGATTGAAGAGGGAAACTTGAAATAGAGATTCGTGTCTAGGGACAAGGGAGCAATAAAACCGGGAAAATGGAAGCATGCAGAAAGAAGCAAGAGACACAAACTGGTTACTTTCACTAAAAATTTTACCCATCGTTGTCGACGAACCAAGGGGCAAGGAATAAGTAAACATGAAGATTAAAAACCCAACTTTTTTCCTAAAACTTTCTGTTCCGAGGAACCAAACAGAGAGAGTGAGAAAGAGAATTGCTAGGGACGGAAAATGGGGAAATAAAATAAGAGGGAACGGAATCATACCACCAATTGCTTCGGTGCTGCGCGTCATCCCGAGGGTAAGATCTCCAAAGCTGCCTTTCTCCTTCAGGTAGTGACTCAGCAGACTACAGGTCTGGGAGAAAGAAGGCTTCTCCGGCAACTTGGTCGGCTTCTGGCCGGAAAAAGCCGAGGAGCTCGACATTTCGCCCCAAATTCACCGAGAAAACAGGGGATTTGTACTAAGAGAGAGACCACAGGAGGGTCGTAGCTCAGAGAATTGAAGAAATCAGAGGTCGATGTCGTACAAGAGCGTTTGAATTTGAAGTTATCAAACAGAGGCAACGAAGAGGGACCAGAGAGAGAGAGAGAGAGAGAGAGAGGATGAGGTTGAAGTGTTTGTGTTTCCAACGAAGGAATCTGGCAATACAATAGGCCAGCGTTGGGGGTTTTATTTATTTGTTTATTTAATTAATTTTAATATTTTGGCGGGGGAATTAAAGCACGAGGAATACGTGGGGGGGGGGTGTGTTTGGGGTTTCCTTTTCTTGCCTCCTAAACTGCAGTTGTCCAAGGCCCTCCGTAACCTTTCTTTATTTCTTTTCTTTTTCTTTTTTTAATTTTAATATTGATTGGTTGGTTTGGCCGACGAGTCCACTGTGCCCCGTCGACGGTTTACTTCGCTACTTAATTCATTCATGCCTCTCTCGTTTTGTTTTCACTTATTCCACCACGTGTTCTTTGCTTCCTTCAAACGGAAAACCGCTGAACTGATGTTCTCTCTTTCTCTCTCCTCTCCTCTCTGCATTGCGTGTCTTTTAAGACCCTCTTTATTAGTATTTATCATATTTGTATTAATTTTTTTATAAACAGTCAATTTTATAAAAAAGTAAATGATAACACTGCATAAAAGCTGTGACAAAACACTCAATTACCGTGAAATATTTTTTTTATAGAAAATCTCTTACTTTTTAGAACTTTATTTTTTTTTATTTTTTGGTCATCTACTTCTAAGACTTCTAAAACATTGTGGCATTTAATTGAGGGTAGTAATGAACAGAAAAAACAAATTTACATCACATTTATTTCAATATTTATTTGGTATTTGTATTCTCAAAAATTGGACGACCTTTAATTAAAAAAATGGAGGGAATATATTACTGTCCTGATATTAATATTATTCAATATATATATATATATTATTTAAAAATGTAAGGTATTTTTAATATTTTAAGGTATAATTATTATCCTTTTTCAAAAGCTTCCCCATGAATAAATCATTTTATATTTATTTTAGAGTAAAATACCTTTATTATAAGTAAAATAAAAATATTTTATATTTTTAAATGAATATTTTAAACAGATCTTTATTTGAATGAAAGTAAATATTTTAATATTTATTGGGTATGTGCATTCTCAAAAATTGGATCTATAATAAAAATGGATGGAGTATAATACAGTCCTGACTCCTGAGATTGATCTTATTCAAAAACAGTTTTTTTAAAACAGTCCTTTATTTTAAGTGAAATTAAATATTGGTCCATCGATTCTCTGGATTATAATCCTCCAGAATGTTTGCATGCTTGAGAGAGGATTATTAATTGGCGTTGAATGAGTAAAACGTGGAGTGTAGGGAAGAAGAAAAACAGGAAATAAAACGGTGTCGGTGTTTAAGGAAGACGCGAGGAAACTTCGCGCTTCAATAAACAAACACGAAAATTCAACTTGCTTTAATTAAGTGTCTGGTATGAGTTATGACTTGAAAGCTTGGTTACACAAATAACTTATATTATCCCATCCACTTTCAACTATTTCACAGCAATTAAAAAACAAAAATTAGTCATTGAATAAATAAAGGAATTTTAATTTTATCCCTATTAAAAATAAGAAGAGAATGATACACAATATACAATTAAAATTAATTTTATAATAGGAATAAAATTAAAAATAATGATAATAAATAACTTTCTAAATATCTCATGTTAAGAAGCAAATAATATTTCTAGACTGTGATTTATAATTGGGTTTAAATTAAGTAAAGTACAAATATTTCCTCAGTCTCTATTTATTTGTTCTTATCTGCATTTTTTTTAACTTCAAAATTTGGAAGGGAAAAAAAAAAACATCGACGCGTTTCACTCGTTCAATTCAATTATTAGAATATCATGTTTAAAACAAGCAGTCTAGTGAAGGTTATATATACATCGCATTGGAAGCCGGAAAAGCTACAAGACAAAAACATGTTTCTTAAAAAAAATTGTATTATATTCTCATTGCATCCAACCTTATTTGACTTCAGTCATCGGTCAGGAAATGTGATCATTATTAAAACTAACAATTTAAAAAATTCACCAGCAGGGGAGATTAATAAGTTGAAGACTATTCTAGTTAAAAAAAATTAAATGTGAACTATAAATCTATAATAGAGAAGGATGGCATCTTTTAACCTAAGTACATATCAAGTGTGTTTTCCATTTTGTCGACGATGGTAATGTTCACATATACTCACGGACGAATCTACTTTCATCGTAGAGGGGGCAATTGCCTCCACTAATCTAAAAAATATTACTTAAGATAATCCTAAATAATTTTAGTCCCCCTTCCCTTAAAAAACTTTAATTACCCCCCTTACTTCAAAAAAATTAACTCATGCCTTATAACAGTTTACTTATCCCATCATCTAAAATTATATATGTGTGTATTTTATAAACTTAAATGGCAATAGTTTTAAAATGGAAAAGTAAAAATTTAGAAAAAAAAATTGCTCATGAAAAATTGTATATAAAAAAATTCGTCCACATAAAAGAGATATATCAGTGTTATTTAATGAAAACTAAAATTATGGTTCTAATAGATATAAAAAAATATTTATATAAAGAGAGTATTTTATGTTATTATCATGTTTTATACACTTTTTTAATATTTACTTTTATTAAATTATACCATTAATAAAATTTAATAGATATTTAAAAATATTAATATTTATTTTAAGTATAAATTATGCCCCCATTGACTAATTTTTATAAATCTGTCACTACATAAACTCTATGTTTTCCATGCATAATCACAGTTATTATTAAGTGGCTAAAATACATAAAAAAATTTTAAACTTTGATATAGCTTTATATAAACCTCTTACTTCTAAAAATTTAAAATTAACCCCATTAACCTTAAATTTTATTTTTCAAAACCCTACTTTTTATTATATTAATTTCTTATGAGGGTTAAAATGTTATTTAACTATAAAAATTTTATTAAAAAAATTATATTATAGAATTATTTATAATTAATTTTTTATATTTTTTGGATAGTTAGGCATTGATAGCTAAAAAAATATTATTATCACTGCATAAAATTTTAAATATTTACATTTGTTTTAGCTTTATCAATTTTTTTTGTGCATAGTTTTATTGTTTCAAAGGATAAATTTTTATTTATATTTTTAAGTTAGATTAATGTAATGCATATGATTAAAATAATTAAAATTTTAACTATCACCAGTTTATATTAACTTATACCTTAATGCAAAAAAATTATGTATCATTGATAACAAAAAATAGATTAAAATAATACAAAAGTAAATATTTAAAATTTTATACAGTGATAACATTATTATTTTTTTACAATGAATGCCTTAACTATTCAAAAAATATAAAAAAATTTATTAGCCATAGTTCTACAATATACTCCATCTGTTAAAAAAATAAAATATTTTTAATCAAATTTTACCCTTCAACAAAATAGTTACTTATCTTTAAATTAACTCTATCTTTTTATATTTATCCTTATTGAATTAAGTGTTTCACTTTAAAATAAATATAAAGTGATTTATTCAATAAGATACTTTTGAACAATAGGCAATGATTACATCTTGAAAAACTAAAAATATCTTATATTTTTAAATATCCAATCCCTTATAACATGCCTTATATATTTGGACGGAGGGAGTAAAATTTTGTTTGATTAGTTAAATAACATTTTAACCCCTATGAAAAATAATATAATTAACCGTAGGAGGCTTTGAAAACAAAACTAAATATTAAAGGAGATAATTTTAAACTTTTAAACATAAAGGAGTCATATGCAACTGTTTCATAGTTTATGAGAGTTTAATATATTTAGCCTTATTAATTTGGCGTATGATATGAAATTGAAATTTAAAATATATATACTCCCTCCATCTCAAATTATAAAATACTTTTGGAAACGATTTACATTCTCAAAATATAAAACATTTTAAAAAAATTAAAATTTTATTAAATAATATTATTTCAATATTGCCCTTTACCCTTTATCCCTATCTATTTAATACTAATTAAGTATAAATTTAAAATTATTAAATGAAAGATATTTTTAAAAATTTATATTTATATTTTAAAAATATAAGATTATTAAATATATTTAATGAAATTTATTGGTATGTAAGATTTTTTTTAAATATCTTATAATTCAATACAAAAAGAGTGTATTCATTCTACAGTCTGTTTGCTCGCCGGAGCCCGGAGGCATGTAAGTTGGGATTGTGTCTGGGTTCATGCTTAAAAGGCCAAAAAAAAAAACAATGAAAGTGACGTTAAGTGTATAGTAATTCAATTGTAAGCATCACTTGGGTCAAAAAAATTATTTGGGTGGAGGTTGTTAGGATAATTTCATACATTTTTTATTAGAGATATATACTCTGAATACTGTGTCTCTTCACCCCACACGCGTTTCCACGAATTCCACGGCTAAACCCTAGTTTCGGCAAACAGGTAAATTTTGTCACGACAATTTGATCACCGCATTGATTTTGTTGTCCAAAAACTGTTGTAATATTGCCACTCGCACTTCTGATTAATTATGACAATGCCTGCAAGTCAAGGGCAAACGAACAAAACATGATAACAACGCCTATAAGCTAAATTATCGGATAAGATACCACCTCGATCCACCTTCATCACATCGCTTTGACTATTTTACTCCTTGCAGGCATTTTAAAGGTCTACAAATACAAATAGTACAAGTACGGAAATTGCTGCATGGAGGGAGAGAGCAGCACCCTTCGAAATGAATTATAAAAGCCGTAGATGAACGTATATAAAAGCAAAATATTTGACTTAAATCACGATGATGTGACCTAGTGTTCCTCGCTTGATCCCATAATCAAATTGGAGGGATTTGATTTCTTCCGTAGGCAAGAAAAAACATTCATGGCCAATCACTTTACCCTTAATTAGAAGACCTGATGGCGTCTGAATAAGTCTAAAACCATTGATATGTTTGAAAGATGGTTTGTCTAAGATATTGAATATATTGAATGCTTTAACGAAAAAAAAAATTATTTGACTTAATTGAAATCGAATTTTGAATGATGGATGAAGGGAAAAAAAAAAAAAGAGTCCAACAAGCTGTGTATTAAAAATATAATATAATATCTTCTCACAGGTCTTACT